AGAAAGTAAACACAAACAAACATACACAGACACACACACACAAGAATGCACACATAAACAAACGTGCGCACACACAAACGATCAAGATACAATCTAAAATGCATACACAAACAAACACAGACACACAACCACAACACAATGCAACACAACCCAGCACACAGACAGACTGAGACAGACTTATACACAATCAAGACACAATCAAGAATACATACACAACCAAACATACACAGACACACACACACTTAAACACACACACACACACAAGCAAACCATAAACTTAGGCAGACAGACAGACAACACACGCGCACACACACACACACACACACACACACACACACACACAAGAACTACAAACTCACAGACAGACACACACACACACACACACACACACACACACACACGTCCAAGATACAATCAAAAATGCATACACAAACAAACGTACACAGACACACACACACACAACCACAAACTTACAGACAGACATACAGCACTCTCTCTCTCTCTCTCTCTCTCTCACTCACACACACACACACACACACACACACACACACACACACACAAAATCAAGATACAATCAAGAATGCATACTAAACAAACACACAAATAGACACACATAAACATAGACAGACACACACAGACATACAACACTCACTCTCACACACACAAACCATAAACTGACACAGACAGACAGACAGATGCGCGCGCACACACACACACACACACACAATCAAAATTAAATCAAGAATGCGTACACAAACATACTTACGCAGACACACACACACACACACACACACACACACACACACATATAAGCAAGAACCACACACACATAGATCTCGCAGTAAACACAGGTGAGGGTCACTCTATAACTAGATTTGATTTGGAATAAGTTATTGGTGTGAACATTTCCACAGTGTAAACTCTGAGATTCAGAGTCAGTATTTAGTAAACATGATTACTGTAATAACTCCTGCTGCTGCTGTTATCATCATTATTAAACAGCAGAATCTCCCTAAACACTTCAGTTACTCTCATTTTGGAAACATCATCAGTTTACAAACTCAGTGAGTACAATACATGTGTGCATTTCCTAAACACGGTGACACAAAAGCATTATTCATCACATGTATATGTCATCATCCCCTACAAATCTTCCCTGTGGTGACCATGCTCTAGTTCCCCTAATACACCATAGTGAGCCGCTAGTTATTGTTTAATACAAATGCCACCATTGTTATTGTTTCTGATGTGAATAAAGCACTTAAAGTTCCTGCAGTTTAGGTCAGTAAGTGATGAAGCTGTGCTCAAAGTGAAGGTAAACACGAGCAGCTGATAGAGAAGCGCTTTATTCGGCATCTTTAGTGAATGTTGATCAGCTTTACTCACAGCGCTGAGAGCCGCAGAGTGTAGCGGACAGCAGCAGCAGCAGCAGGCCGAGCTCCGAGCCGCTGCACGCCGCCTTCAGACTCCTCATGTCCCGCTGAAGTTCCAGTCGCTTCCGCTTCGGTGTCTCGGATCCAAACACTCGCTTTTCCTGTTGACTTTCCTCTAGTGTTTCTGGCAGACAGAGCTCATGCCTGGCCGGCGTGTGTGTGGGTTAACCATGAGGGAACTAGTAGCGCTCAGCTGGTCAGTGCGCTTTAGGAGGCGGGTGGTGACAATAGAGGCTGGAGGAAATTATGTAACAGGAATTAAAGCTTGATAAATAATGAATGTCACCAGTTTCTCACCCGACAAACTTTTTGTGAAGAGATGACCTCAAGCTGAACTCAAATATCACTTTAAGATTGCTACAGTGTAGACATTTTTCAAGCTGTTACTTTGAAAAAAAAAAAACCGTTACTTTTGTATCATTTATTTAAACATTTGTAAATGTTGTTTGTAATCTGCTACATTGTTACTAAACGTTTGTAAATGTGACATTTTGTGACTTTGTAAACAAAACGTCACTACTGGAAAACTATTTTATTTTTGCAAATGTTTATCAAGAATGCTACATTGTTGCTTATGTAAACAATGTTTGTGTTACTTAAAAAAACGTTGCTTTTGTATTATCATTTGTAAATCTTGTTTATCATCAATGCTACATTGTTGCTTTTGTAAATTTTCAATTGTTATTGAAAAACAAACGTTACTGTACACATTACTACAGGAAAACTACACCATTTACTTTTTGTAAATGTTGTTTGTAAATAATGCTACATTGTACCTTTTGTAAACATTGTGAACGTTATTTTTCAATTGTTAATTAAAAAGATTACTTTGTAAACATTGTTACTACTGGTGAACTTCACTATTTAAACAATGCTACGTTGTTACTTTTATAAACAATGTTTGTTTTCCTTTTGAAAACTGTTATGCTTTGTAAATGTTGTTTGTAAATAATGCTACATTGTTACTTTTGTAAACATTGTGAACTTTATTTTTCAATTGTTAATTAAAAAGATTACTTTGTAAACATTGGTACTACTGGTAAACTATTTACAATAAACAATTTTTGTTTTACTTTTGTAAACGTTACTTTTGAAAACTATTGTTTTGTAAATGTTGTTTATATGCTACTGTTACTTTTGTAAACGTTGTGAACGTTGTTAATGTTCAATTGTTGTTACCTAAAAATAAACGTTCCTATTGTAAACATTGTTACCACCGGAAAACTACACTATTTCATTTATGTAAATGTTGTTTGTAAATAATTGTTACTTTTGTAAAAATTGTTTGTAAACATTCATTTTAAAAACGACACTATTTACTTTTATAGACATTAGTAACATGATTAACTTTGTGAATACTGTTTGAGAACGTTTCAACATTTTTTTAAAGTTACTTTTGTGCAACATTGTACAGTATGTAAACAAGGTGACACGGTGGCTCAGTGGTTAGCACTGTGGCTTCACAGCAAGAAGGTCACTGGTTTGAGTCCCGGCTGGGTCAGTTGGTGTTTCTGTGTGGAGTTTGCATGTTCTCCTCGTGTTGGCGTGGGTTTCCTCCGGGTGCTCCGGTTTCCTCCACAGTCCAAACACATGCGCTATAGGGGAACTGATCAACTACACTGGCCATAGTGTATGAGTGTGTGTATGGGTGTTTCTCAGTACTGGTTTGCAGCTGAAAGGGCATCCGCTGTGTAAAACATATGCTGAATAAGTTGGCGGTTCATTCTGCTGTGGCGACCCCTGATAAATAAGGGACTAAGCCAAAAGAAAATTAACCCCCCCCACCAACCATCAGCATTAAAAATAAAGACTCAGACACAGTTTTGTTTTGCTATTGCCTTCATTTGGACAAAATAAACATGTGCACTGAGTGTGTTTCATTCACTGAATTGGTCTGAACACACATCACTCACTCACACACACACACACACACACACTGCTGTCCCTTCTTAAGGTTCTGTGATCAAAGTTCCTTCAGTTACTGAATGGATCAAAAACAGGAGAAATACTCCTACATGGCATTATTGCATACTTCATACAGTGCACTGGGATTATTGTGAGGTTGTTTTTCGTCACATTCGCATTATTCTGTGATACAAAAATAAATAACAATTCATTTGGGCAGGAAAACGGGGCTGTTCTTAAAATATAGGAGTATTGAAACGTGCATCACTGAACGACAGAAACACCAAACTAACATGAGGACAGACGACAACAGAAGAGTGAAGCTCCGGCTCATAGTTCACCCCAAATCAAGAGATGAAGGAAAGATGGCTTCAGTGTCTTTACCATTACTGTAAAATCATGGCCAATAATTAAAGTGGAGGGGGACGCGGTGGCGCAGTAGGTAGTGCTGTCGCCTCACAGCAAGAACAATAACCACAATTTCTGACAATAACCAAACAGCTTAGAATGCTTATCAGCCAATCAGAATCCAGCATTCAGCAGCACTGCAATATAATATATATATACATATTTTTTTCATTATGTATGTATATATATATATTCAGTATGTATTTGTGAATATAAATATGAATATTCTGTTGATCTGAGGGTGAAATATGAGCAGGGAATATTCTAAACAGGTCTGATGAAGTTCATCCAAAGAAACACATCCATATTAAACACATCTATAAAGTATGATGGGATGGACTGTGAGCTATTATTGATTATTAATCGATGAAACACACTCACACATGCACTCACGCACACACACACTCACAGATTCACGCACACATTCACACACATGCAAGCGCACAAAAACACACGCACATATACACATGCATGCACACGCACACACATGTACACACTCACACACACATGCAAGCGCACATAAACACACACACATTTACACTTGCATGCACACACACTCACACATGTGTGCATACACACACTCACACATGCATGCACACAAAAATACACACACACAAACGCACCCATACACACATGAAAGCACACGAAAACACATACACGCACTTACGCATGCATGCGCACACACACAAACAAACACATGCATGCGCACACATTTACACATTCATGCACACACACTCACATATGCGAGCATACGCACACACTCATACATGCATGCACACACAAACACACACACAAACACACTCACACATGCATGCACACACATGTGCGCACACACAAACACACACACTCACACATGCAAGCACACAAAAACCCAGACACACACATTTACACATGCATGCACACACTCATGTGCGCAGACACATTCATAAATGCACACACAGACACTCGCACATGCACGCACACACACACACATACACACATCTGCACGTACACACGCACTCACACATAAACAAACACTCGCACACTCACAATCATACACAGAACCACACACACACACACACACAGTAAGAACAGTGTATCAATGCAGTATAAAGACAGACGCTGATGTGCTGCTGAACACAACTGGACCCACAAACCATAAGGAAGTGGTTTAGTGTCACTCCACACGCTGACACACACACACACACATTTCCCACAATGCACCTCTTCTTCAGTCTCCCTGGAGACACACTACAGGATCAACACCGGACACGTCTGAACATTCCTGATATAAAGAAACAAATTCAGCCGCAGGTCCGTCATCCAGTCACTTATAAACCCTGTGATAGCAAAGGATTGTGGGATACGTCCTGGAGAACTCCGTTTATAAAACATCTAGAGGACGATTCCTTCATAAAATGTTAAAATGCGCCGCGTGGCGAAGCCTCATCGTCCCAGAGCGCGCCATGTGTAAAGTGCGAGACCGCCGCCGCTCGGCTACTGCATTAAACACCACAGCTTTAGCTCGAGTCAGCGGACACTTCCTGTCAATCACACCTCATTTCCTGTGCAGAGCGAGGGGGTGTGGTCAGATGGAGTAGGTGGAGCTTTCTGACTGCTGGCGGATGTAGCACTGGAAGCTCTGATCACCGATTGGATGTTCCCTGGAAACACAAATATATGATGTGTCATAATCAGATGAAGAATTCCCTGCTTCTCACATGTGCAGTCAGTGATGCAGATAACACCGAGTCATGTGGAGGTGCGTTAGTGCCAATAAAAGAGGCAATGTGTCTTAAAGGGACAGTTCACCCAAAAACCATATCTGTGGTGGTTGAAATTACGGAAGTTTTCCAGGATAAATAACAAAATGGGACGGTGGCTGGAGATGGGGCTGAAATACGGGAGACTCCTGGGAAAAACAGGAGTGTTGGCAGGTATGCTCACACACACACACACACACACTCTGGACTCTGACTACTTCAATAGACTGAAATGCCCAGCACGGCATATCAACAATGTCTCGCGCTGAATGCTGTCGACCAATCGCTGTCATCGGTCCAATCAGCGCAGATTAGATTGCTGGGATAATCAGGTAAAAATAAATGCAGATTATAAGACAATGAAAGTGTTTTATGAGCTTGCAAGCAGATCAGCCTGTTGCTGGACACCCCAAAACCAAAATATGACCCTTTATAAAACATAATGGGGGTTCTTTAACTTCCCTATAATTTTATTTGTCCTACTATGGAATTCAATGGTTAGCAGTTTCCAACATTCTTATAAACATCTTCTTTTGTGTTTAACTGTAAAAGAATTGTCGAAACATTTGGAACTGCTTTCATTTGTGGCTGAACTATCCCTTTAATATAAATGTAACTCCAGAAATCGCTGTAAGAATTGGAAAACAAACCTAAAACAAATCATTTGCTCACACTTTATTCTGTTTATTCTTTTAAATTTTATATTGAATATTTTTTAGAACAAATAAATCTGCCTGTGCTAGATTTTGGAGCACTATCGTAAGTTATTTCAAGAGTTCACACTTAGCTGATGATTTATAAAAGCTTGTTTGACATGCTGTCCCGGGAGAGAGCCCCGAGCTCAAGGGCTCCTCGAGCCCGGGGCTTAACTCACTTTGGCAGAGCAAGAGGGGAGCCTGAGCTCGGTGGATCTCAGACCTCCCCTGCTGCGGTAGCTAAGGGAACACAAGGGATTAGACAAGCTTGATTGTTATGCATGTTGAATGTCTTTGGATGGTGGGAGGAAACCGGAGAACCTGGGGAAAACCCACGCGGACAACATACAAACTCCTCACAGAAACACCCACCGGTCCTGTGGAACCAGGACTGGCAGTGTTCTTGCTGTGGGGCTCACAGTGCTAACCACTGAGCCGCCGTGCCGCCCAATCAGAGGTAAAGGAGGAGAATAGGGGAGGAAGGGAGTTTCTTCCAAACGAAGATAAAGTGAACTGAAAACTGAGGCTATTTATAGTAGCTTAGGGCTCGTATGATTGGAAGATAGTGATTAGCAAATGCGAGACCGGCCGTGATAAATCATAAGCACGTGATCCTCTCGAAATTAGTTTATGAATAAACTTCACTTTGTTAGATGAGCTCCAGATTTGGCTTCAGTACTGACTAATCTAGTGTATTTGCACACATTTAATATTGTAGAGCTTCCTTTTAAAGATACGTGTTTAAAAGAGAGATTTGTGAGGGATGAACTCATATATGCTGAGCGCTGTATATATTACTGCAAAACATAACAATATTACAGCCAGGGCTTTACATTAACTTTTTTAATCACCGGTCACTGTGGCTAGTAGTTTTCCAATGTTACTAGCCACTCTGCATTTTCACTAGCCACAATTTTGTTGTTGGGAAAATATATTTTATATGCATAAATTTGACGTTGACATGCTAAAATGACTTGATTTAAATGTGCTGTGTCCACATGCGTCCTCATTCATTTCACTTTTTGTGTGTCGAGTATGAGTTCGCTCAATGAGTGTGAGCAAATGGGTCAGGGTTTCATAGTGTTATATTGCAATTAGTTTTTATTTCACATGACCTTTTTTACAGCTCAAAATTAACGATTTACCAAATTTATCTCTATAACCATGCGAAACAATAATTATTTCTTAGCCACAAATTTTTAATGTGTCAAAACAAGCAAAATATAGCTGTATACTTTACTTTTTATTTAACTAAACATTTCTTAAAAAAGAAAGAAAAGCAATTGACTTAAAAGCAGATGAAACATACCGTGTGTGATAATGAAAGGATCACATGTACACGGTTAACTTTAGGCAATTTAATAATCTGTTCAAAGTGAAAGCAGCCGGTGCCGCTTACAAAAAGACACATTTTGAGCTCTTAAAAGCATCAGGACTGCGGATGCATCTTCATCACTATTTGTCTAGTTTATTTGAAAGAGGACTGATGACAGTTGCGTTTCCAGAACCTGTTCCAGACACAGTTGCTTCACGATTCGGGAGCGCGCACGCGTTAAGCAGTCGCGCGCATCACATCAGCTGTTAGCGCGAGTGATGATCTTTACCCTGTGATACTCACTGGCTTCCATACTTGGTTTTCCTGAACTTGTCTCGTTTGTACTGTGTGTGCTGCTGCTCCAGTGTCTGCACGGCGGAGATCACGAGTCTCAGGGTTTTATAGGTTTCCTGCGGGTCATCGATCACAAACGTAGAGTATTCCTCCTGCTCCGGCCCGTCGTACACTGACTTACTGCCACACGCCTCTGCACACAGTATCAGGACATTTTCATCAACACAGTTCTCCTACTAAAATCCCACAACTTTACCAAGACTTAAAGGTAAACATCTATGACGTTGTGCTTAGATCAGTAAAATAGAGGCCATGTCTATGAATTAGGGCTAAACTTATTAATTAATTGTTAATAATTAATATTAATAATTGAATTAATAATTGAATTATTTGATTTAATATTCATCACTTGTTTTCAGCTCCTTTTTCACTTTAACCACTAAACGCATGCTCAGGTCTATTTAACCCACTATATTATCGATGCTGTAAAAGCTACCCCATGAACTTAAATGTAGCCAATCTTCCCCCGGACGTTTTCAGTGGCTAAACAACACTTCCGTGCATATAAACCCATTTATAAACAAGAACACGGTCAGCTTTGCATGGCAAAAATAGTTTTAAAACAGACCTGTCTAAAAGTAATACTCCAGCCGTGGCGTCACGCTTTCGATCATTGTTTTGATCTGCACAACAGTCATTGCCTTTAACGTGCTAAAGTATTCCCGATATTAATTCAGGGTTTAGAAAAGTTTTAATTCTGCATTTTTGGCAGATGCCCTATCAGTTTGCAGGATGACGTCTCTCTGTCAGCAATAGATCCGTGCTTTTAACTTATATGAGAGCATGTGATTGGCTGAAGATAGAAACAAATAACTCTTCCCTTATCATGAGTGTACGAACCCTGAATGAGTTTTCATGACTGCTCTGTTAGTGTGATATTCTCCTGTGTGTGTGTGTGTGCGTGCGTGTGTTGGACTCACCCTGCATCTTCACCAGTTTGGACATGTATGTGCTGTAGAGCGAGTAGATCCTCTCCGTCTCTCGATCTCCATCCACATCCAGCTGAATGTTGGCAGGAAGTCCACTAAACGACAGGAAGAAGAACATAAGTCATGATTCACACCTAATGTGAACAGAATATAGAGACCATACACAAGAATAAAAGTGTAAAGTGTGGTGTAAGCAGAATATAGACACAATAAAATGTAAAGTGTGCTGATAAGTATATGAGTATATGTGTGTGTGTGTGTCTCACCCTGTGCAGGGCGTGCAGCCGGGCGCTGTGTCCGCAGACAGCTTACAGCAGAGCCAGTGTCCGTTGAGGAATGCAGACGGGTGGAAGGTGCTCAGGCGCTTGCGGTTGCACTGACTGACCTTCGTCAGGATGTCGATCCAGTCTCGGGCCTCCACACAGTTATTAGCCTGAATGTAGAGCGCCCTCTCTGGCTGGATGACCTGGAACATCTGCAGGAACACACACACATATAATAGATCAGCGACTGGAGAGCTCAGAAACACAAACACACACACATAGCAGATAAGGAATAAAGAGCTCAAGACACACACACACACACACACACACACACACACACACACACACGTAAAGCAGATTCTCTTACATTCTTCATCTTGAAGGACTCTTCCTCCAGTCTCTCTACAGCCAGGATGTTCTCTATAGGGATACTGCACAAAGCGCCCTCTCCTGGACACACACACACACAAACACACAGTGAGTTTTCATGTTTTATGTTCTCCTCACATCTTCACAATCCTTCATTCTGGCTGAGTTATGAGCCGATTATTTCATGGTGACCCAAAACATCAACACACAGGAAAATTTACAGGTATTGCTATACTTGTGGGGACATTTGCTTCTCATAATGTGATGAACAGCAGGAGGTCTCATTTTCTCTTAATTGACTGGTTATTTACAGTACTTTTTGGCAGGGAAAGTGTTAAACAGCACTTGGGAAATAATTAAAAACAATTAACAATCATTTTGACTGTAACTGTATATTAATATGAACAATATTATTAATATGGCAAACACACGATGGGATTGATGACAGACGCCTCACACACCTGTAGTGAGAGTTTCAGGACAAACCTTTTGCGTTACCTTTGGTTTTATGGTAGGTGAACTCGTGGTTGGTGAGGCGAAACCATCTCTTCTTGAAGTTCTTCAGACCGAAGCGGTTTCGTCCCTGAGCTCGCTTGATCATGAATCTGAAGGTCAGAAGAGGGAAACATCAGAGAATCCATCACACACACTCCTACAGTCTGGTTAATAATCCACCGCTCTGATGTCAACAAAACCCACCACTGCATTTGATTATTCTCCACACTCCTGCATTACTCTGGGATTGTGTTCAATAACTGCTGTCGTCATCTACATGTGTTATCTGCAATATTCTCAATCTTTAATGGAAGATTTACCATTTGAATGATTTCTGGTCAATATTTAGTCAAATACGTGTATGTTTCATTTGAGATATTATAAAATGATGTACAGTGGTCCCCTGTATTCACTAGAGTTCTAAAAATAACCGACCATAGGTGAAATCCATGAAGTAGCCTGCTTTATTTTTTACAGATATTATAGATATCACAACAAGAAGGTCGTTGGTTTGAGTCCTGGCTCGGTCAGTTGGTGTTTCTGTGTGGAGTTTGCATGGTTTAAAAAAAAATAAAAACTGCTTTTAATCTAGCTGAAATAAAACAAATAAGACTTTCTCCAGAAGAATAAATATTATCAGACATATTGTAAACATTTCCTGAATCTGTTCAACATAATTTGGAAAATATTTTAAAAAGAAGAAAAAAAAATCAGAGGTGGGGGAATAATTATGACTTCAACTGTATATATATATATATATATATATATATATATATATATATATATATATATATATATATATATATATATATATATATATATATATGTGTATGCTGCTATTATTTATTTAACTGCTATCGAAATATATTACTAATTAATCCTCTCTTTATACAATTTATTAAGTTTCAGGCCTGTAGGCATAAGGGGTTCTGGTGGTTTAAAAGATGAAAGGTGTGATTGTTATTATTTTTGAAAAATTTCTTATTATTTAAATGGCCAAATTCTAACCAAGCAAGACTTAATGTACAGGCCAGTGTGTTATTTGCCTGTAGGCTTCAGTGTTTAATTTACAACAAGTTTTAACAGATTTAACAGATTTATGATAGGTGATGAAAAATTGTCTTTAAAAATAAGAATCTTTTTATATTTTTTTATTCAAAATTTTCATTATTTATAAAACTGTAAAATAAAAATAACAGTTTAAATGCACATTTGTAAATAAACACTTTAATAGTACAATAGTATGGTAAACAATTTGACAAAATGCTTGGAAATATTTTTTGGTACATCAAAAAGTGGTTATGATAACCATGCGGCAAAAAATAAGTTCTTAAAATGTCACTAAAATAAATATGCAATATGTGTACCTTATAATTAAATAGAAAACAAATAAGCAGCCTATTTCAATAAGCCGGCTACAGGCCTAATAGTGTAATGTAAGAATAATGTCTATTACTGATTAAGAGAGTTTAATAAAGACTTCAGTGTATTTAGCTATAGTGTAAATATAACATGTCTCATATATCAGTATTATGCCTATACACAGGCTGTATTTTGTCTGACAAAATGTTGCGACCTCTGATTAATAAATAGACGAAGCCGAAAAGACAATGAATGTATATAAATGAGAGTAAATCAGTAATACAAAAAAGGTTTCATGTGTCATAATTAGTAATAAAATTAAAGCACAGTAGAGACCTCTGTAATATCTCCGTTATTAAAACTGAGACTAAAAGCAGAATAGGTGGAGAATTTTCCTCTCCTGCTGCTCAGGTGTTTCTTCAGGATGTGAGTGTCTGAAAGAGTGCTCAGATTTACAGCTCAGACACTTCAAAACAACATCAACATCACCATCATCTCAATTCAGCCACTAATAAAGGAGGAACAGCTGACAGCTCTGGGTCTGTCCTCTTAATAGGCACACTAGTAAGGGTGTATGTGTGTTCACTACACAGGGAGGAAGCACAAGAACAGAGATCTTCTGGAAGGCTGTGTGGAGAGTCGGAAGTCATGAATTAAGGGTCAAAGGTCACAATGGCATCTTACCTGCCTGAGCCTTTGGCATCAAACCTCTTAATAATGAGTTTAACGCTCCTGCGGCCAGCAGAGAAACACAAACACACACACACGTTTGTTTTTCTGTCTCACATGTTTACTGTGGCTTCACTCGAACCCTAAACTAACCCTCACAGAAACAGCAGCCAACCATCAGATACTAATGATTCAGACAGACATTGAAACACACACACACACACACACACGCACACAGATATACAAACAACACAAACACATATATTTAAACAACACACACATTCAAACAAACAGTCAAATATACACACACACATATATTTAAACAAACATACTCAAACACACACACACACACACACACAGACAACACACAAAATACACGCTCAATCAGACAGATGCTAAAACACCCACACACAAGTCCACACAGACTCAAACACACACACACACACATACAGACAACAATACTAAAACACACACACACACTGAGTAACACTTCAAACACACTAAAACTCACACACACACACACACACACACACACATACATACAAACTCAAACACACAAATACACACACACTCAAACAAACAAACACACACACACACATTCAGACAAATATTCTCAAACACACACACTGAGTAACACTTCAAACACACTAAAACTCACACACACAAACACACACACACACATCCACACACAAACTCAAACACACATAAAAACTCTCTCTTACACACACACACACTCACCCTTCCTTCAGCATGATGGGCGTCTCGATGCTCTTCTGGTCCCAGCGTGCTGACGACGAGATCAGATCCAGAAACTGCAGCGGATAAACACACATCAGAAAACTGACGACACACACACACTCACACACACAAACAGACACACACACACACTCACGTTCTTCACTGCGTCTGCGTACTTCTGCTCATTGAAGTAGTCGTAGAAAGCAGCCATGTAGGACTCTTTAAAGTTGGCCTGTCAGAGAGAGAAGAGTGTTTATTATTATCCTCATCACACACTGCAGTCTGAGTGTCACAGCACAACACACTCCGCATCTGCATCACACAATATAAACTCAAGCAAACAAAATGTTCTCCCCGTGTTGCCGTGGGTTTCCTCCACAGTCCAAACACATGCGCTATAGGGGAATTGATCAACTACATTGTCTGTTGTGTATGTGTGTATGAGTGTATATGAGTGTGTATGGGTGTTTCCTAGTACTGGGTTGCGGCTGGCAGGGCATCCACTGTGTAAAACATGCTGGAATAGTTGGTGGTTCATTCCGGTGTGGAGACTTGATAAATAAGGGATTAAGCTGAAGTAAAATGAGTGAGTGAATGAAGCTTTAAGTGTAAATACGTGCACACACTCACAGATTTGGACTTGGCCAGGCTCCCCAGAGTCTGTATGGTTTTGGAAATGAGCGTCAGGGTTCGAGATGTGCACGGATCCTGGAGGAGAGAAAACATGACCCGAGTAAACACCTAGATCAGTGTGTGTGTCTGTGTGTGTGTGTGAGAGGATGCTTGTGTGTTTCTGTATGTATGTGTGCCCAGGCCTGTGTGTGTGTGTGTGTGTGTGTGTGTTTGTTTGTATGAGTTGGAATGTGTGTGTGTATAAGAGTGTGTGTGTGTGCTTGCATGTACACATTTTTTTTCTATGTGTGTGTGTGTGTTTGCGTGTACGCAATTTTTTTCTCTACATGTGTGTGTTTGTGTGTGTGTGTGTGTGTGTGTGTGTGTGAGAGAGAGTTTGCGTGTGCAAAATTGTATTTTCTCTATATGTTTGTGTGCATATGCGTGTGTTTGTATGTGTCTATGTACATGTGTGTGTGTGTCTATGTTTGTGTGTTTCCTTAAGAGAGTGTGTGTATAAGAATGTGAGGTGTGTTTGCGTGTACACAGTTTTATTGCTATGTGTGTGTGCACATGTGTGTGTGAGTGTGTATGTGTGGCTACATGCATGTGTTTGTGTGTTTGTGAGAGTGTGTATATGTGTGTGTGTGTGCGTGTGTGTACAATTATTTTTCTCTCTCTCTGTGTGTGTGTGTGTTTGTATGTTTGTCTACATGTGTGTGTCTGTGTTTGTGATGTGTCTGCACCGGGTGATGCGGCCGCAGGTGGAACAGGTTTGGCGACAGGATTGCAGGAGCAAAGAAGCGCAGGAAGATGAAGCTGCTGACTGCCGTGTAGCGAACATCTGCATCCACTGAAAACACAACAGCATAGAACACATTACTTTTACAAATGATATTAACCCAGCACACACACCTGTCTCTTCACCTGGCTCCTCAACTACAAAACCCATCAAAAATTATAATTACTTTAATTTTAATTCACAAACTTAACATCAGATTGAAAAACTCCTCACAATTATTTATATACAGGTTTGCAGAAAGCAGAAATTTGAATACTAGCATGCTACACAGAAACTATACAGCAGTTCACACATGCAAAACTCATCAACATTTGCATTGGGACAGAAATGAATCTCTCAGAGGACCAGCAACTTCACCAAATCTGTAGGAAATTTGCTTTTAATCAATTAGCTGAACTCAAATCTTAAAGTTCTCCTGTACAACTGTCTGTAGAGTGAGGTGTGTGTGTGTGTGTGTGTCTGCAGTGCTCGTCTGTGGCCTGAAGGTGGCGATGCAACACTCACAACAACACAAACTGGAAAATGGAGGAAAACAAACACAGGAGAACAGCAAGAGTTCATCAAACTGATGCTCAATCAGAGAAATCTGACAACTTTAATGCTTGTTTCTGCATCATCAGCTGCTCCACAGCACTTAAACCTGCTCTCAGAGCTGATGAGGAGCGACTTCTGCTGTCAAACACTGACAAACCACACTTCATTTCATCTGTATGTCTGTAGCTCATTTCACAACACACATCATCTCAATCCCTGCAGGAAATGCTTTCTTACTCAGAGTTTTTGTCTTGTTTCTAGCTCAAACATCGAAAGATTCCCAAACCAAGAAGCATTTTCTAAACAAGCAAAACATATCGTCTTGTTTTCAGAGTCAAAATTAAGTGAGTTAAAACAAGCTAAATAATCAGACAATGAGGTAAGCAGAATAAACATGTTTTCACTGAAATGACATTATTTTTCTTACCCAATTGGCAGATTATTATGCTTTTTTATTTCGGCTAGAATAAAAGCTGTTTTAAAATAAAATCGATTGTTTTAACCCCATTTTAAGGTCAATATTATTCGCCCCCTTCAGCAATATTAGTGTTGGATTGTCTCCAGAACAAACCACTGTTATACAATGACTTGCCTAATTACCCTAACTTTACCCTAATTACCCTAGTGAAGCCTTTACATGTCACTTTAAGCTGTATAGAAGTGTCTTGAAGAACATCTTGTCTAATATTATGTGCTGTCATCATGACAAATATAAAATAAATCAGTTATTAGAGATGAGTTATTAACACTGTTATGATTAGAAATGTGTTCTGACCATTATAAGTGTGTTCTGAACGAAACAATCTCTCCATTATTTATATATAGATGTACACTATAATGGTGATGTGGACGTCAAATAAAGTAAATAAATGAGCCGCTCACCCTGAAAGCGCGAGGCCGCAGACTCACGCAGAGAGAAGAAGATGTCGCACATGACGGTCGGGCAGCTGACGCCGGAGCTGGTGATCACGCTGAAGATGCGGTCCACATACTGACGCAGGTTTTCCTGAGGACACACACAGGAATATTCAATCTCAGATATTCCTGAACAAATATCTAAACAACTAAAGCTGAACTGAAAACTCATAACAGCTACAAATAATAAAACGGACAAGAAAATTACTGCGTCATTTAATTAATAGAAAATAATAAATTAATATAAAATAATTCAATTATGATAGCAAAAGGTTTTTCATACTGATCCGTCACTTATTCTTGATATATTTAATATAACTCAATGTTTTAGTAGTTTAAACCATTAGTATCGATTTAAATGAGTAAATTAATGCAATAAATGTAATTATTAGTTTATTGGCGACGCAGTGGCACAGTAGGTAGTGCTGTCGCCTCACAGCAAGAAGGTGGCTAGGTCGCTGGTTCGAACCTCAGCTTAGTTGGTGTTTCTGTGTGGAGTTTGCATGTTCTCCCTGCGTTCGCGTGCTCCGGTTTCCCCCACAGTCCAAACACATGCGGTACAGGTGAATTGGGTAGGCTAAATTGTGTGTGTGTGTGTGTGTGTGTGTGTGTGTGTGTGTGGATGTTTCCCAAAGATCGGTTGCGGCTGGAAGGGCATCCGCTGCGTAAAAACATGCTGGATAAGTTGGCGGTTCATTCCGCTGTGGCTACCCCAGATTAATAAAGGGACTAAGCCGACATATTATTGTGTACACTACTGTATTAGTGTATTATTAATTCAATTATTAATTATTAAATAAATAAAACACATTTAATTATTAATTATTAAATTAATAATAAAAATATTTTAAAAATTAAATTTAAAACTAATTAACTTGGACAGAGAAAAACACACTGTTGCAGTACACTGCACATTTTACAGTATTACTGACAATTCTTACAGTTTTACAGGCTAAATTTACAAGCGTACTGTAAATGAACAATTACAGCTGTGTTGTAGTTTTACAGCTTAATTGTAATTGTAATTTACAGTGCACTTGTAAACTTTACAATATTACCGACAACCAAAATTGCCAGTAATACTGTACATTTTACAGCAATTTATTACAGTGGTTTTCAACACAATATATTGAACATAATAGTTTAATAACTCATTTCATTTGTCTTTTGTACTGTACATCACAAAAGGGCAAATAGTTTTGTCTATAAGTAAATGTTACACCGAACATTATTAAACCCATAATCTCACATTACATGCATTGGGAAACTGTTTGGTTTGAGGAACAGAAGTTGACGCTCACCCTGTTTGTGTCCAGATTCTCCGACTCCTTCAGCTTGACGGGGTCGATCTCGCAGGGTTTGTGGTCGCTGCAGATCTACAGGTAAATAAGAAACACGGTGAACGCGGCGTTCAGATATCCTGCATTATAGATGGAGATAGACCCACCTCATCGATGATGGGCTTCAGTGTGACGCGCAGGTAATGCATCCCCGCCAGCTTCATAGTCTCATCGATGCACTTGGACGTGAGCGAGTTCCCTCTGAATATGGTGTTGGGGTCCCTGCGCAGACAGAGGAGACACTGAATAAGGGGGGACACTAATACACACCTCCTGGTCTCCATTGTGTAACCAATAGGGTGTATGCACAGCTACACTTTCCTCAGGCCCCAAAATGTACATATTCGGCAGGGTATGATGAATGATCTGATGGGTATTTCTAGCTTAAAATTTACAGACACATTCAACGACTTATCGTACATCTGGTGTAAAACAGGAGCCCTTTAAAGAATCTTTGGTGGTTTCATAAAAAGTGTGAGGAGCAATAGAGGACCATGAGGAGCTGCTGTGTATTCACTGACGCTGCTGGTGTGTGTGTGTTTTACTCACTGTGTGCGGCTGATCTCTGCGTGAGCGATGGCACTGAGGAAAGGCACGATCTTGCCGTAGTGCAGGAAGAGTCTGACCAGCGGGACGGCCGCCTCCTGCTTCTCCCGACACACCTCACCCAGAATATGAGCCGCAGACGCTGACACCGGCTACACATACCCACACACACACATTAAGACACACATACACAAACACTTGCTTACTTGTTTTATTAAGTTAAATTGAATTATACAAAGTTTATATTTTTAATCTGTTTGATTGATGTAAGCTGACTAGAAAAGTTCATTTGATTGAACTAAAAAAATGTAGGATAGCAAGAGTTTTCTTTACAGTGAGCAAGCATTTACTGTAATAGACATCTAATAGACATCAAAACATAGACGGTTTGGTGAAAAACCCAAATTAAGTCTTGTTTTAGCAAAGCCATGTACATTTAGACGTCTGTTAAACACAAAAAATGATTTGATGTTAGTCTAATTGTGGGCTATTCTTACATATCTATTAGATTTTCCTAAATTTAGTCTCGCTTAATCACAGCCGTCGATGTTTAGACATCTATTAGACGTCTTTTAAACAAACAAAAATGCTTGTTGTGTCTGATGTAAAGAATAAAGCTCAACTATATGAGTGTGTGTGTGTGTGTGACTGACCTGTACGTGTGCTGACTGCAGAAGCAGGTCTCGCAGCGGGTTGTAATGCTCCGTCGGGAACACGTGGTCCTCCGTGTAAACGATGTTGAGTCTCAGCGAGCCCAGCTCATCCGCCTTCACTGACTTATGGCCGTTATCTCTGGGCTGCAGGAAGTACCTGAAAGAGTCAGAGTGGATGATGATGAGGATGATGATGCTGTCCGCAATAACAACCCAGGCTCATTGGAGAACCACGAAATACATGGCCGAGGCAACGTTTACTTTTATTTTTGACAATCTCAAATGTGTTACTGTCCCACATGTGCTCATGCATGCCATTTATCGTAAATCCACTAGAGGTCTCTGTCTAGATTATTACAAATGTCAAATACATTACTGGGCCACATTTTCTCATATGTGCCATCTCTCATAAATCCACTAGAGGCCGCTGTCAACTTGTCAATCTCAAATAGGGTGCTGGTCCTTGTCAGCTCATCACACATGCCCTTTACATGTCTGGCCAACTTGCACACATTACATCTGATTCACATCCTTTCTTAAACCCAACCGATAGTGTTTTCATAGGCAAACTAGAAGAGAAAAGCACATTCTTTTACAACTATTTCACACTTATTTTTTGTTTTAGTTTTACTCGGATTCTGAAACTCTGGATTCTGTCATTTGCTAGACTCGAACCCCAGAACCCCTGCTCCACTTCCCAAGCCATACAAGACAACCTGCTGAGCAAATGGACCACACTGGAAAAGTTGTCCATAAGTAGTCAATCAGTCAGAAGCGAAAAGAAACAGAAGTTGTCTGCGATGTCATACGGCACCATAGTGTTTACTTTACACACAAAATGCAGCCCGATGTACGCTTCCCTAATATGTAACCCTGGGCACATATCCCCAATGAGCCGTGGGTTGTCATTTCCATCTCTCTCAGACTGAACACACACATGATGAGGCTCATACCATGCATCGTGAACACCCGCCTGTCCCAGCACCTTCAGCGGCACCCGTACCTCTCCCAGAAACTCATCGCCAAACTTCAGGTTACTGGCGTTCCACAGGTCCACCCTGAGGACAGAGACGCATTTACAGTTATTTAACAGACATTGATATGCAAAGTGACTAACAAGTGGAGATGACAGAAACACTTTGAATTATTAGAGAGGTGCAGTGCATTATTATTCACTTATTCATTATTATTGTCATTTTACAACAGTAATAATAATAAAACCTTTAACTTATGGAGCACTTTATATTTTAATTAAAATCTCAAAGTGAAAAGGAAAAAACCATGATGAAATAATAGCAAAAGGACAAAATATGTTAAGAGTGCGACTCGTAAACACAGAAAGTGATGCATCGTGTGTGTTTGTGGCCAGTTTATGTAGTAACACTCTCAGTTACGTCATCACAGGCTGCTTCTGAGAAACACACACACACACACAAACACTCATGAACAGGCTTGCACTCATACTCACACATACACACTCATAAACAGGCACGCACTGACATATACACATATGTACACACACACGGACACACTCACAAACAGGCACACACTTACACATACGGATTCACAAATAGGCACGAATCCAATCACTTACACTCACACATACACACACGCTCTCTCTCACACAGTCAGAAACAGGCAAACGCTTACACATGCACTCACAAACAGGCACAAATTCACTTACTTACACTTACACACACACACACACACACACAAACACACTCTCTCACACACTTACAAACAAGCACAAACTCAATCACTTACACTCACACATACACACACACACACACTCACTTGAGTGCGAGCTTGTCCACATCATCTTCCTCCACGTCGAACTGTCGTTTAGTGAAGCTCAGAGGTTTCGTCACCTGTCAGAGGAGACATTGATTACTGCATCATATCTTACATTTCTGAAATTCTAATATACTTATTAAAATATTTTATATTAAATATTAAAATAATTGGTTTCTTTCTGAATATACTTTGCGAGTAAATATGTCTCCATGATCATAAAATCATCATATTAGAATTACTGCTGAGCGATAAGATGAAAATGCTCAGCAGAAATGAGCACAATCCCTTTTAAAAGTCAATAATTTCTGCGTTTCTCAGTGAATTCAGACCATATGTTGTGGTGTATTTAAACAAAACAGTTTTATTAAACTCTTATATTCATTAAAATAAAAGTTTGCTCACTGAACATCTCCATATGTGAGAAAGAAAATACACTTCAAACTACAAAATTTCAACTCAATCTAAAATCTTCATGTTTTTCTTGATTTGTTGTGTTATATTTAATATTTTCCCCCACCATATTCATTTGGATGTGCTAATCTCTGGACTGTGACCTTCATTATTGTGTTAGATGTGTGAATAAACCATCTGAAACACACCAAACTGTTTGACTAATCAGGTTAAACTCAGTTAAACAGACGTTTCTATAAATACAGCACAGAAATGGAGACTCACTTCCTGTCTGACCATGAGCCAGTAATAATGTGTGTTTGAGGATCTGCAGATAATCATATTTCACACTATGAGCCCATGAAGATGTGTGTGCGTTTGTGTGTGTGTGTGTGCGTGTGATTATATGTGTGTTTTTGTATGTTCATGTTCATCTGTGTGTGTGTATATTTGAAATGTGTGCTTGTGTACATAATGTGTGTGTATGTTCGTGTGTAATTTTGTATGTTTATATAAGTTTGCATGTTTGTGAATATATGTGTTTTGAGTGTGTATGTCTGAATGTCTGCATATGTTTGACTTTGTGTGTGTAAGCATGTTCGTGTATATGAGTTTAATTGTGTCTTTGTGTATGTATATGTTTCACCACATGTGTGTGTTCTTGTGTATGCATATGTGTGTGTGTGTGTGTGTGTGTGTGTGTGTGTGTGTGTGTGTGTGTATATATATATATATATATATATATATATTTTTTTTTTTGTATGTGTGTGTGTATGCCTGTTTGTATGTGTATGTGTGTTACTGTGTGTGTGTGTGTGTGTGTGTGTGTGTGTGTGTGTGTGTGTGTGTGTGTGTGTTTGTGTGTGTGTGTATGTTTGTGTGTGTCTGGTGTGGGAGAGATGGACTGTGGCTGCAAGCGCAGAGAGATAAATGAAGCAGATTGTGTGTCTCATAATCAATCACACTCTTGTCTCCTCGTCTTCAGGGACATGAGCATGTGTGTGTGTGTGTGTGTGTGTGTGTGTGTGTGTGTTTGTGTGTGTGTGTGTGTAAGAGAGAGACACTCATTGAGTCTCAGTGCCAGAGAGAAAACAGCTGTCAGATCTAATAACAGGCCTGTCGACTAAATGACGAACCCTCCAGACCTCAAACAGCCACTGAACATTAATAGACATCAAAATAAATAAATTAATAAAAACTAAACATAAACCATAATAAAAAAGCTAAATAGAATCCTAGTTACAATGACAAAAGCACAATAAAACAGCAAAACTATCACTGACAACAGTGGCGCCCCCAGAAAATTTTCTTAGGGGTGGCCAGAAGAGGCCGCACCAAATCTTGGGGTGGCACACAAAAAAAAATAATGAATTCAGTGTAATGTTATATTTTTGTTTCTGGTAAACGAAATAATGTAGTTTTATTCATTTAATTAATTCTACTTGAAATATTGCAATTTATTCTTTGAAATAATTCAGCAAGTACATGTGCAAACCAAATAAAAATCTATGTTTAGTTTAAAAACACTTTTCATATACTGTATAAATGACTTCTTTTTTTACGTGCCTTTATTGTACATCATACGAGATATGCCATGTCTAAAATTAATGAAGATTAATGAGTTTATTATTCCCAGTGATGGGTTGCAGCTGGAAGGGCATCCGCTGTGTAAAAATGTGCTAGATAAGTTGGCGGTTCATTTTGCTGTGGTGACCCTGGATTAATAAAGGGACTAAGCCGAAAAGAAAATGAATGAAAGAATAATGAGTTTATTAATTACCCAAACAAATGAACAAACTGAACAAAAGGCATTACTATACACACTCACTATACCTAATAATATTATTTATCCATATTGCTTTTTGAACCATTTTATTAATGCAGCTTCTTCTATTGATATACTGTAGCTTAAGGTAAATATTAAATAGCCGTTGCTGTCTATTGAAGGTGTGTGCGTGCTGTCAAGGACGATCGGGGAGGGTAGTGGTGGTTCTAGTTTAAATGACACCCTGGGCGAACCACCCTATACACCCCCACCTCTCTTGAATTGTTAGATTTGTTATTCAATAAATATAACAATTTATTTATATTTATTCTAAATAAATACAATTAATATTAATATACAATTATTATTCTAAATAAATAACAGAAATCAGTCCTAAATATTACTGGAAAACAACAACTGGAGTGATATGCCAACATCACTTAAGAAACCTTTTGCATGAAAATTAATTATGACAATTCTAAAGAATACAAAAAATGTATTATAGAATTATCTGTGGTCTTAGACCAGATCATGGCTAAGAAATCATGTTATGAAGTCTTACCTCCCTGACTCATTATCCCTCCTTTCTGCTTTAAAGGCATGCTTAGTGAAAGTAACATCATCATCATCATCATCATCATCATCATTATATTATTTAAACTTTAAACGACTTTCAAAACTCGCTGCGTGCCGACACTTCTGCACAAAAGGCTGTTACTCCGGTTTCACGGCGCATGAGCGGTGCCTATTATGTCGGCGTGCATGCAAACAACCAACCGGGATTCACACAGGAGTGCGTGAGGCGCGCGGGAATGGTTTTCCGCGCGCATGCGTCAGTTTGCTTTCACCAGAGGGGGAGAGCTACGTCAGTAACACCAACAATAATTTAGTGACTGCATTTTATTTATTTATTTATGTATTTATTTATTTATTTATCTAAATATTGGGAATTTATAAGTTCATTTAAATCAATAATGTCAACCGCAAAATTATATTGGGGTGGCCAAAGGGGTGGCCACAGGGGTGGCCAGAGTTTACCGAGGGGTGGCCGTGGCCACCCCTGGCCACCCCTTGGAGGCGCCCCTGACTGACAAATAAATAAAAGTAAACATAAAACCTTTAAAACAAGACAAAAACACAGAATTAAAACAAAATAACTGAAATTAAAACTATTAGTTGAACAGATTAATAAAATAAATAACAAAAATTACAAAAGAAGCTAATAAAATTTAAATAAAATTAAAATGATCACAATTTGTAATAGAGCTTTATTAGTTAATATTAGTAAATGTATTTATTAACAAATAAACTATGTACAGCATTTATTAACCATAGTTCAAATAAAAAAAAAAACACAACATATATGTCTTTAAAATAGTAAATACTAGTAACTTGTCACAGAACCTTTTTGCAAAGTGTTACGAAAACTTTTTTATTTTTATATTAATTATAATAATAAGCAAATATGATAACAAAATAAAATGTTAATGTAATAAAAAATATTATGAATAATAATATTTTATGAAAAATAATTATAAAAGCTATTATTGAATATATATATATATATATATATATATATATATATATATATATATATATATATATATAATACATTTTAAATATATTTAACAATTTTTTAAAACAACAAAAAAATTACAAAAATATTTATACACATAATAAAATAATGTTACCGCAAACTATTATAAAAAATTACCTTTTTATACAGATAAATGACAAAAATCACAACACAAGTACTAAATTTAGTACTATTCCATTAACTTTAAAAATTTTAATAATTTATTTATTTAGTTTCTATTTAATAAATAGTATGTTAATATATGGAGGACAGAAACAAAACAGCTGTCAGGTCTAATAATTCAGAAGTCTGCCATCTGAAAATTAAACCCTGCAGACCTATAGAAACATTCTAGAGGATTCTGGGTAAAGCACGGTTGAGTGCACAGGAGTGCGTGTGTGTGTGTGTGTGTGTGTGTGTGTGAGGGCGACAAACACACCTTTAAAACCACATTACTGACACACTGCTGGAGATGATCAGAGCTGCAGGAATATGGAGGGTGTGGAACGTGTGAAAGTGGCAAACCACAATCTACCAGTGTGAATTATACAGCTCTCACACCACCTCTTATATTTACATATTAAACACATCCACCTATGCTTACCTTAACCAAGCAAGCCACATACAGTTCAAGGCTAAAGGATTAGAGGGTTCCTATCATGCAGAAATCCCTTTTATATGGAGCTTAAACCCAGTTATATGTGAGCAGTGTGTGAATATCTCCAGCCTCTAATGATGAGGGTGAATTAATTGTATTTGTTCTAATCAGACTTGATAAAAACAGTCTGCAGAAGCACTTTGATTGACATTCTCCCTTTGTACATTTCATCAGAGGGGGAAAGCCCCGCCCACTAGTGCACATCTCTCCCTCATAAGCATAAACAGCCCTGAGTGAGAAGCAGCCGTTAACCTTTTAATCCCCTTTGCTTACTGTGTGGAGCTTTTTACTCATCATAGCACACATACTGCTGGTGATGTGACAATGAAAGGGATTTAGTTTAGTTTAAAAAGCACACGTCCACCTGATGCAGACTGTAAACAACAGACGATTCTCTGACTGTGAGTTTTTACCTCGAAGAAGAAGATCTCGTCGAACTGAGGATTGTTGTTTTTTCGCTTCACCTTCGTCTTCTTGGCCTCAGACCTGAGAGAGAGAGAGAGATCAGTGCTACTTTTATCATGTTACAACAGATTAATGCTATTTTACTGAACATATTTAATCCAGAGATATTAAAAATCATCTTATGCACAATTTTTAAATGTTTCTTATATTATACTGATTTCTGAAGGATCATGTGACTCAGACTGGAGTAATATTGCAAAAAAATCAGCTTTACATCATTTATATTAATTACACTTTACTAAATATTTACATAAAAGACAGCTATTTTAAATTATAATACTATCTCACTATTTTTAATGTATTTGATAAATTGAGCGTGCAGAACAGATGTAAAACAACATGATAAACACAGCCTTTTTAATTTATTACTATTTATAATAGCTTTTTTATTTTTGACTTGATTAATAATTGATTTTAAACTTTAGCTGTGTTTTGACTCATTATTTTTGACCAGAGTATTTGTTTTTGATTATCATAATAGTTTCTTGATCATCAAATCCTCATATTATAGTGATTTCTGAAGGATCATGAACACTGAAGCCTGGAGTCGTGATGATACAAATTCAGCTTTACATCACAGATGTAAATTACACTTCATTAGATATTAAAATAGACGACAGCTATTTAAATTATAATAATATTTCACTATTTTTACCTAATTTTTACCTATTTTTGATCTGATAAACTGAGTGAGCAGAAGATATGCTAAACAAAAAAAGAAACACTATTTTAACTTTTTAAAACATAAATAATTCATAATTCATTAATCCATAATATAAGAAATATTACAATTTTTTCATTTGTTACTTGATTAATAATTAATTTTAAACTTCATCTGTTTTGACTGTAATTATTTCTGAGAGTATTAAAAGTGTTTTTAATAATCATAAATGTTTTTTGATCATCAAGTCCTCATATTATACTGATTTCTGAAGGATCATGTGACACTGAAGACTGCAGTAGTGATGCTAAAAAATACCATTATTATACATTATTTATCAGATTAGCTCCAGATTTGGCTTCAGTACTGACTAATTTACTGTACAGTTGAAGTCAGAATTATTAGCCCCCCTTTGATTTTGATTTTCTTTTTTAAATATTTCCTAAATAATGTTGATCAGAGCAAGGACATTTTCACAGTATGTCTGATAATATTTATTCTTCTGGAGAAAGTCTTATTTGTTTTATTTCGGCTAGAATAAAAGCACTTTTTAATTTTTTAAACACCATTTTAAGGTCAATATTATTCGCCCCTTTAAGCTGTATTTTTTTCAATAGTCTACAGAACAAACTATCGTTATACAATAACTTGCCAAATTAACCTAACCTGCCTAGTTACCCTAATTAACCTAGTGAAGCCTTTAAATGTCACTTTAAGCTGAACACTAGTGTCTTGAAGAATATCTAGTCTAATATTATTTACTGTCATCATGACAAAGAGAAAATAAATCATTTATTAGAGATGAGTTATTAACACTATTATGTGCAGAAATGTGTTGAAGAAATCTGCTCTCCGCTAAACAGAAATTGGAGAAACAAAATAAACAGGGGGGCTAATGATTCTGACTTCTACTGTATGTGTGTGTGTGTGTTTATTTGAGGACACACGTTAAGCCCTGAACCGATGTTGGAAAGACTTAATGAGCACTTGTAAATGGGATGAACAGCAATGCTTTTAGCTGGGATCTTACCTTGAAGGGCCCAGTAATGACACGGCTGCGTACGGGTCACACTGACCATTGACTATCGGCAGATCCTGACACTCCAAAACCCTGAACGACAAACAAAACAGACATCATAAGCTTCACACACACTAATAGAGCTGAGGTTAGACACTGTATAACTGATGTCACAACTGGTCAATCAGAGAAGAGCTCTGGTGTGGGCCGACATGTGCAGTGACATCATCGGATGATTGACAGTGTGACATCAATTACACACACTGCCATGATGGACAGATTTACATACAAACATACACACACACACGTTTACAGCTATCTTAATGGGGACTTCCTATAGACATAGTTTTTTAGTGCTGGGCAAAAGATTAATCGTCAATAATCGCATCCAAAATAAAAGATTGTTTTGACATAATATGTGTGTGTATAATATATATATATATATATATATATATATATATATATATATATATATATATATATATATATATATATATATATATATGATACACAAATATAAATAAATAAATACAACACTATATGAAGCTATTTTATTACATATATATTTAAATTTATAAATAATTTGTATATCTAAACATAAATAAACATTTCCCAGTACTGGGTTGCAGCTGGAAGGGCATCCACTGTGTAAAACATATGCTATAATAGTTGGCGGTTCATTCTGCTGTGGCGACCCCTGATAAATAAAGGGACTAAGCCGAAAAGAAAATGAATGAATGAATGAACACACAATTTCTCAAATATATGCTTGCATTTATGTATTTATATATACATAATAAACACACACACACACACACACACACACACACACACACATTACTTATTTTAAGTTATTATTTATAAGCCTGCTTCTTCATAGAGACCAAAAAAGTAAAAAAAAAAATACTGGTATTACTATACTTGTGAGGACATTTGATGTAGGAATACAAAGTACACACACACACATGGTCTGAAACTGAACTCATTCACACTCATTCAGATCCAAACCATATGAACATCACATCCTAAATGATAAGCAGACAGTGCAGATCTACATTCAGATGTGTTCATGAAGCAGAGCTCGGCTGTGAATGTGGGTTTACTGCTGATGAATGAAGAGGATTTACAGCATCTCTAATGCCATCCGATCCTTCCAGGGCACTTCCTGTGTGTTAAGCCCGTTTATATAATGCTGCGTCTGGCCTGGTCATACAGATGCCCAAAAATACACCGGCCATGACGTCCAGCGCAGGCTAAAACAGACTGAGACCTTCTGCAGGAGTCCAGATTACAGACACACAAATGATGTTCAAGAATGAGTTTACATCTACTGTATATACCGACCTTACTTTACTGGGTCATTAAAAAGAGCCAGAGGTACAGTCAAGCCGGAAAGTATGCATTCCCCTGGCAAATACCCCTGGGGTATTGACTGTCAGTTCAGGCTTGACTGTCAATTACAAACACCTTAATATTCATTCATTCATTTTCCTTTGGCTTAGTCCCTTTATTCATCAGGGGTCGCCACAGCAGAATGAACCGCCAACTATTCCAGCATATGATTTACACAGCAGATGCCTTTCCTGCTGAAACCCAGTGCTGGGAAACACTCATACACACTCATTCACACACACTATGGTCAATTTAGTTCATCAGTTCCCCTTTAGCGCATGTGTTTGGACTGTGGGGAGCAACAGGAGGAAACCCACGCCAACACGGGAAGAACATGCAAACTCCACTCAAACTCAAACCAGCAACCTTCTTGCTGTAAGGTGAGAGTGCTAACCACTGAGCCAGCAGCAGCAGCAGTGCAGTGAAGCACATCAATTGAATGAATCAGAGAAAAGTGTGTATGTTTCTGTGTGTGTATGGGAATGAATCAAAGTGTGTCCACATGTATCTGTGTGTATGGGTATCAATCAAAACTTGTGCATGTGTGTGAGTGTACATGTGTGCTTCTGTGTGTGTGTGTCCAAGTGTGGATCTCTGTGTATTTGTGTGTGTGTGTTTGAGGGTTAGTGTGAATGAATCAAAGTGTGTGTGTATGATACAGTGTGTATGTCCATTTGTGGGTATGTGTGCGCATATTCGTGCATGTGTGTGCACAGATTTGTGAATGTGTATATGTGTGTGCGTGTTTTCGTGAGTCTGTGTGTGTACGTCATCCTCACTGTGTCTTAAAATGGAAGCTGCATAAATATCCTGTGAATGAGAGCGCTGCTCACTGTGACACTAAGCTCATTACCCAGAGTGCTCCAGTGTGGGAAACTGTCCAGACATGAAGCCACTGATGCTGTGAAAGCATTTGAGCATGTATGAAGCCTATAACACACACATACACACACACAGCACATTAAACTGAACCCATTTCCATTAACTGACAGCAGTGCACAGAGGCATTCATGCAGTCACAGATATGTAAGCCAAGTGCACACACACACAGACTTGTACAGCTATCTTTATGGGGACTTCCTATAGACATAATGATTATTTCTACTGTACAGACTGAATATTCTCTCCTCTCCTCCTAAAGTAAACAATCTGCACTTTTACATCTTCACAATACTTCATTCTGGCTGATATATGAGGCTTTTTTTCTCATTGAGATCCAAAAAGATCAACACACAAGGTCAAAATGTACTGGTATTGCTATACTTGTGGGGACATTTGATGTCAGGAACACATGATACACACACACAGCAAACATCAGTTCACATATTTAAATGCTTAAGCTGCTAATCAAAGCATCAAACTAAATAATTACTGTGCAAAGAGTTTAATTTGTCAAATATAACACTAAAGTCTGCTTCAGTGAATGTGCTTCTTCCCGAATGAATCTCTCAGTGATTCAATGATTCATTCATTCAAGGACTTGCGTCATTTCTAAATGAATCATCAGTTTTGAATGAATCATTTGAGTGAAAGAAACATGTAAAAATATAGTAAAATAATAGAGTAAGTGTTGATACATATACTGTGATGTTCCTTCAAGAGACACACTGTCCTGAAGTCTCTGTTAAAAGGTTTGAACTCAAGTGTTTCACAATCTGAATCTAATTGTTAGATATGAATCGTCTGATCTAGTGCTTGTTATCTGTGTCCGCCAAGATCATAAAATGAAAATTAAAGCAAAAAATAGAGTGATTGTCATTGGGTTATTGGAAACAGACTTGCATGCATTAACACATTATGTTAATGAAATTTCCAGCAGAGCTCTTCCTCGAAAGAGTTTGTTTTCAATGTGGTTTCAACTGATTCAATTGATATGAATCATCTGATCTGTGTCCATCAAATGAATCAGTTGTTTTGAATGAATCGATTGAGTGGATGATTCATTAAAAAAGAACTTGCGCCACCTGCTGGCAGTTTTACTATCATATTGATTTTTCCACCAAATGCTTTAAGCAGCATAAAAACACACTCTGCAAAACTGTTGTTACTGACAAATAGATTTTATTTTGGTCAATTTATTTCTTTGGTAAACAGAGCGTCAGATAATTTTGAATCTGATTCAGCTTAAATGGGTTTCCTCCGTGTGCTACGGTTTCCCCCACAGTCCAAAGACATGTGGTACAGGTGAATTGGGTAGGCTAAATTGGTCGTAGTGTATGAGTGTGTGTGTGAATGTTTGTGTGGATGTTTCCCAGAGATGGGTTGTGGCTGGAAGGGCATCCGCTGCGTAAAAATGTGCTGGATAAGTTGGCGGTTCATTCCACTGTGGCGACCCCAGATTAATAAGGGGACTAAGCCGACAAGAAAATGAATGAATGAATGAAAATCTGATCATGTCTTGATGTTGACTGATTTGATAAGGACAGTGCGGTCTGACTCTGCTCAGACTAAAGTCTCATCACTGAACAGAAATAATGTCCAGTATAGAATATAAAGTCCTGCTGCAGTGGAGACAGAATGAAGATTGTGTCTGACTCCATCATGAGCTTGGAGGACTGCATCCATACATCTCTGACATGACTCAAATCACTGATTAATAAAGTCATCTGGAATGAAGAAGAAAGCCTTCAGCAGGATCCCAGAGTTCATCAAGAGTCTTTGTGCTCATCTTTAACACCTCCTCCTTCATCTTATCCCAGACATGCTCAATAATGAACATATCTGGTGACTGGGCTGGCCAATCCTGGAGCAGCTTGACCTTCAGGAGCTTTGATGTGGAGGCTGAAGTATGAGAAGGAGCGCTATCCTGCTGGAGAATTGTCCCTCTGCTGTGGTTTGTAATGTAATGGGCAGCACAGATGTCTTGATACCTCAGGCTGTTGTTGTTTCAGATCTCTCACACGCCCTCATACTGAATGAACCCCAAACCATGATGTCTCACCAAACTTGACTGATTACTTTGAGAATCTTGGTCCATGCTGGTTCCAGTAGGTCTTCTGCAGTATTGGTGATGATTGGGATGCAGATCAACAGAGGATTCAGCAGAGAAATCCACCTTCTGACACTTTTCCAAACGATTAGCTAGAAGTCAAGTTATTCTTTGCAGCTCTTACAACTGAGATCCACCACAAGACTTGAACAGAGCATCAATACGGGAAACAAATGCTCATCCGACAACATTTACAATCACTGCCGTATCTAAAAATAGTTAGAAATAGGTTTTCAAAATAAATATAGTTCAGCTGATTTGCGGACGACGTGTTTCTCTCTGCTGCTGACTGTAAGTGCTGCTTTCACATAACAAATAACAGGCATGTTGCTCACAGAAGCTGCGCTGTACAGGCCACTATTAGACTGTCAGAGAGATAAAAACACAATGCTAAAAATACTCATGGCGCAGTGTTTCAGTTCAGTCATACAGAAAGAGAACTATAATAATCAGTCCCTCCAGGATTTCACGATCGCACTATTTATCACAAAATCAGGCAAACCTTTGTTGCATTTTTTAATGCAGCTAATGTTTGGGGCTTAGACATTTTAGGCTTTTTAGACAATATCACAACACTTAATCACCTACAGAATCCAACTTACATGAGATTATACTTGAGGGAAGATTTGTATTTGAAAAAGCATTCTTTTAATTGAAATATAGGTTAACTCATAACATAATAATATATACAGTCAAGAGGTGCGTGATAGGCTGAGAATCATGTTTCATTATATAATTTTCATTCATTGTCTTTTCGGCTTAGTCTCTTTATTAATCAGGGGTCGCCACAGTGGAATGAACCACCAACTTATTCAGCATATGTTTTACACAGCTTAACAATTTAGCTTTCCCAATTCCCCTATCCGCTTGTTAAGTGATGACGTGTTTGTGACGTATGTAATACTGTTTCTGGGTCCAAGCCGGCATTCACTTGAGTGGAGAAATCATTCGTTTATGATCACGTTTTATTCCTATCACACATTAAAGTTAATTTTACATAAAGTCATAGTGTACACAACAATCTCTGGGCTTGCTGCATAACAAATACCAAAATTGTAACAATTTATAAAACAATAAATCACTTTCTGGCCATCGGATATTAGGCATGGACATATATACTGCGATCGTGACTTTCGAAAGCATTAAATCACTTTGTAAACGTTTATTAGTACCATTTCATGAGTCTCCCCATTCAGTTGAATAGAGCGCTTAGACCCGGAAGCCGCTCTGCATGACGTCACACTTAACAAGCGGATAGTGCATGTGTTTGGACTGTGGAGGAAGGAGGAAACAGATGCAAACACGGAGAGAACATGCAAACTCCACACAGAAATCCCAACTGAACCAGCTGGGGCTCGAACCAGCGACCTTCTTGCTGTGCTGCCCTATATAATTATCATCTTCAAATAGTTTTTTATAAGATTTTATTTCAATATTGTAATTGTTTCTGTTTGTTTTAACATACTTTATATGGTTTACTGTGTAATATATATAGATCATGTTAGTAAATAAGCAACTAATGAAATCTTAATGTAAAGTGTGACTGAAACTGTTGAATATGCTCTTTTTGTATACTAAATAAGAATATATGCTAATAAATAAAGCATTAAAACAAAGGAGGCATTGATTATGTTGATCAATAGTAAAATATTGCAAATGTCAATCAGTTTTCATTTTTGTTGTATCAAAATACTTACAGAGAGATTTACAGTGTACAGTGGATCATGTAAGCAGGATGCGTTCATTCAGAAAACACGCTCTGATTTTTAAGAAGTGAATGTGATAAGAGACAAGGGCTCTGATTGGATGACGGTGGCAGTGTGGACGTTGTGATTGGTTGCTCACCGTGTTGCCAGCTTGTGGCAGAGGCCGCCGCTGTCTGTGATGAGCTCACTGAGACGCAGCTCCAGGTGAACCTTCCCCTGCAGAGACAGAGACAGGGATTATATATAGACACAGCTGAAGTCTAAATTACTCACCCCTGTCCAATACTTATTCTTTTTCAAATATTTCCCAGATGATGTTGAACAGATTCAGGAAATGTTCACAGCATTTCCTATAATATTTGTTCTTCTGGAGAAAGTCTGATTTGTTTTATTTGGGCCAGATTTTGTTTTATTTAATTACCCTAGTGAAGCCTTTAAATGTCACTTTAAGCTGAATACTAGTGTCTTGAAGAATATCTAGTCTAATATTATCTGTTATTAGAAATTAGTTATTATTAGTCATTACTATTATGATTAGAAATGTGTTCTCCGTTAAACAGCAGCATTTTTTAAAAATCAACACTTCTGATAATTTTGTAACTGTACACTGTGATGTTCCCTAGAGAAACACACTTGTCTGCAGTCTCTGTTAATAGTTTTGAACTCAAATGTTTCATAATCTGAATCTAATTGTTTGATATGAATCATCTGATCTTGTCCTTGTTTTCTGTGTCCGCCAAGACCATAAAATCAAAATTAAAGCAAAAAATAGATTGTCAATAGATTATTGGAAACAGACTTACATGCATAAATAAACTAATAAATAGCTCTTCTTAGAAAAGGTTTGCTTTCAGCCTTTAGTTTTAAACTCATAATGTCAATTAGATATTTTTCATCTAGTTTTTTGTGTCCATGAAGATCCATATAAACAGCTTTTATTTCTAAATGACTTACTGAATTATCAAAAAGAGGCATTAAGAACAAAAATCAAATATAGTCATTTTAATTTAAGGTATGATTCTCACTATTAACAAAATGATCAATTAAAACTCCTGATTTTGTTGGGTAGGATTGGGAATGTTAAATAAGTTTCAAATACAATTATTCAGAATATGTACTAGGAGGCGGCATGGTGTCTCAGGGGTTAGGACTGTTGCCTCACACCAAAAAGGTCACTGGAGTTTGCATGTTCTCCTCTTGTTGGCGTGGGTTTCCTCTGGGTGCTCCGGTTTCCCCCACAGTCCAAACACATGCGCTATAGGGGAACTGAATAACTAAATTGGCCATAGTGTATGAGTGTGTGTGTGAATGAGTGTGTTTGAGTATCTCCCAGTACTGGGGGGCAGCTGGAAGGGCATCCGCTGTCTAAAACATATGCTCGATAAGTTGGCGGTTCATTCCACTGTGGTGACTCCCAATGAATATAGCGACTAAGCCAAAGGAAAATAAATGAATGAATGTACTTTATAAGTGAAATAATCAGGCATTGTTTTAAAATATACAAGTATAATGAAGTGTTACCATAAATAAATGCAGAATTAACTTTAAAACATACAAATTGAGCCAGGCGACAACAATTTCACCACTGATTGACATCAAAAGTCTGAATTGCTTTGGTGCAAATGGTCCACTTTCTGGAACTTTCTTACTAAATGCTCCATAACTGGTTTTGTCTATCTATTCTTGGTTCCTAATCTTTTATTTATGTTTTCTGTGCCCTTAAGTGATGAATGCAATTGAATGTATAACAAACTTCTGTACATGTATTACTATCAGTACCACAATTATTTAATGAGAAAAATTAATAAAATAAAAACAATTTTAAACACAGATTTAAAATAAAGAAATACTTTTAAAAATGAAAACATACAAATATAGTTTTCAGAACATTTCAACTGGAGCAGTGCTGTGAAAGTGTATATTTATTTTCAGTTTCTCCGTCTTGAACTCAAGTGTTTCATAATGTGAGTCTGATTGGTTTGATTTGAATCATCTGATCCTGCTCTTTGTGTTTGAACAGATCCAATTATACACAGAACAGCAGCTTTCAAAAGCGGTTAAGAGTAGGCGAGCTTTAAAGAAATAATAATATATGTGTGTATTTGGAAAAAAAAAAAAAGATTTCTTTAAAACTCACCGACTCTTAACTGCTTATGAAAGCTGCGGTTCTGTGTATAATTGGATTACTTGAAGACAAAATTCTTCACCCTCTTGTGAAATTTGATTTATTTTTCAAATTTTCCTAAAGTGCTGTTTAACAGAAAAGATACTCTCAACACATTTTTAAACATAATAGTTTTAATAAATCATTCATAATAACTGATTTCTTTTGTCTTTGCCATGATGACGGCACATAATATTTGACTCGATATTGTAAAGTGCAATTTAAAAGTGAACTCATTCATGCTCAGCACTGTATATTTGTATATATTTACTAATTAGGGGTCGCCACAGTGGAATGAACCTGCCACAACCCAGCCACAACCCAGTGCTGGGAAACACCCATACACACTCATACACTACGGCCAATTTAGTTGATCAATTCCCCTGTAGCGCATGTGTTTGGACTGTGGGGGAAACCAGAGCACCTGGAGGAAACCCACGCCAACACCGGGAGAACATGCAAACTTCACATAAAAAGCCGGGACTCAAACCAGCGACCTTCTTGTTGTGAGGCGATTATGCACTGCGCCACCGTGTCACCATATATGTGTATATATATATATATATATCAATGACTACACAGCTCTTCCTCTGAGCAATGAAACTCCTCTTGTTAAAACAAAGTTTCTCTGTTTGACTTCAGCTGACATCATCAATATGCAAATAAGCTTTGTAAAGAGGATAGGCTGCTCTTCCTTACACACACACACACACACACACACACACACACACACACACACACACACACACACACACACATGCACACAAAACAATGAGCACTCTATTGACAGAGACTCTGGGCTCTTCATTACACACACACACACACACACACACACATCCTTCCTCTAAATGAATGTGTCTGTGTTTCTGAGGGTCTGCGGCGCATACAGATGTTTCTGCACAGCATCACTGGGCAAATCTGACATCCATTCAGCTCTGAACTTCATCAGATGTGTGAACACAGTGAATGTGAGAACAAGGGCTGCACAATAGACCATTTCTGCATTGAAGGATCTGCAGTGTGTAGGATTATAGTCAGTCCAGACACTCAGTTTCCTACTATTGTGAAGCCATTGCAAAGGCTGCAATTTTGGCTTTTTGCAAGAAGTCTTTTTTGTCTCCTTACTGTATTTAATGCAGACACACTACCCTACAAAAGCATCCTAATCACTGTAAAATAATGAATTATTTATAAATAGAGCTATTCAATTCACCTGGTAAAGATGTGTTCATATTTCCATATACATTTTTTTCCTTATTTTCCCCGCCCAGTGTCGTGCAGCCCTAGTGAAGAGCTCAGATTGAGTTCCTGCTGTATAAATCATGAGTGTTTGCAGCTCTACTGGTGGTCATGTGGCCCTGGAGCTCAAGGTGAATGCATTCACTCGTGTTTGTGCTCAACACACGCTCTATTTGTTTTGAAATCCACTGAACCTAAAAGCTAGCACGCACACACAGAGACTGAGATGTGCCATAACTGACACACACACACACACACAGAGACACATGTGAGTGTATGAACACATACCTGCACCTCTGAGTCTGCACAGACCGGCTGCAGCGGGAACCAGTGATCTTTACCATGGTACTTCTGCAGGTCTTCCTTCTTGACAGCCACTTTACCTGGAGAAACAGCAAATATACACCAGTATATGAACTAAGCTGATCCACTCTGTAGACACACAACACACATCTTCATGCTGTCCACTTCAAAACAACCAAACCGCTATTCAACACACCCTAGCAACAATCCAGAACACCTTAGCAACCATACTCGACGTGCTAGTAACCATCTAAAACACTTAAGCTACACACTGGCAACCATCTAAATCACCCTAGTAACAATCCAGTACACCTTAGAAACCGTTCAAACACCCTAGCAACAATCCTGACCACCTTAGCAACCTTTCAAACCACCCAGCAACAATCCTGAACACCTTAAAAACCACACTTGTCATGCTAGTACCCATCTGAAACACTCAAGCTACACACTGGCAACCATCTAAATCCCCCTAGCAACAATCCTGAACACCTTAGCAACCGTTTAAAACACCCTAGCAACAATCCTGAACACCTTAGAAACCATACTCGACATGCTAGTACCTATCTGAAACACTCAAGCTCCACACTGGCAACTATCTAAATCACCCTAGCAACAATTCATAACATCTTAGCAACTGTTTAAAACACCCTAGCAACAATCCTGAACACCTTAGAAACCATACTCGACATGCTAGTACCTATCGGAAACACTCAAGCTCCACACTGGCACCTATCTAAATCACCCTAGCAACAATTCAGAACATCTTAGCAACCGTTTAGAACACCCTAGCAACAATCCTGAACACCTTAGAAACCATACTCGACATACTAGTAACCATCTGAAACACTCAAGCTACACACTGGCAACCATCAAAATCACCCTAACAACAATCCAGAACAGCCTAGCAACAATTCTTAACATCTTTGAAACCATACTCGACATGCTAGTAACCATCAGAAACACTCAAGCTACACCCTGGCAACCATCTGAATCACTCTAGCAACAATACCAGACACCTTAGCAACCATTCAATGCACTCCAGCAACAATCCAGAACACCCTAGCAACCATACAGAATATTCTAGTAACCATCCAAAACATTCAAACCACACACTAGCAACCGTTTGAAAATACTAGCAACAATCCGGATCATCTTAGCAAACATATAGACTACTGTAGTAAATTCTAAAACATGTTAGAAAACATTCAAAACACCCAAGCAACAATCCTGAACACCCTAGTAACCATTTGAAACACACAAGCAACACCACAGAAGCCATATGAACACCATATCAACAAACACCCTAGCAACTGTCTAGCTGAGTGCTCCATCAACCATACAGAACACTCTAGAAGCCATACAGTCATGCTCTTTGGCATTTTTGGCATCAAACAAGGATCACATTTTCGGAGAAAGTTTGTAAGTTAACATTCAACCTATTAAGGCCTACGGCTTCATTAATCATGCATGAATCACAACGATCTGGCTGGATAAGCTGAGTGATTAAACGCTCTCCTGTGATTGGAGAACACTGCTGTAGATGTCTCACAATGTTTGTTGTGTTTAAATTCAGTTAGGAATAAATCCAGTCATTTTACTTGCTTTATTTTTAGTGTATTACAACCACATTACAATGCACCAGTGACCACCCAGAACATCACGGCAGCCACCTAGAAGAAATTTCCCAAAACATCTGCCTAGTAATCACAGCATTGCCCTGGAAAACACCCTAGCAATATTTGCTTACACCTAATTATATGTCAGATGACTTTATTAGAGGTGACTTAAAGATGAGCACAACAGAAGTAATCAAAGCAACACAACAACAACATACAGGGACTGTGACAATTCACAGTAGTGCTGTCACAATTAATATTTTTGGATCAGGGGGACCGAGTCGGAGCACTCACGGTGATCCCCCGGGCTCTCTGTTGGTTGGGGAAATTGCAGATTGAACCAAAACAAACGATTACAATTGTCTTAATATTGGCAATAAAAAATTTGGGACATTGCACCCTGCAGAACCTCGGATTAAAAAAAAAAAGTCATTGCCAATATCTTAGTGGTTACTGCACGGCGACATATATAGCACAGAAGAGCTCACGGCAACCTGAGTTCGATTCCCGGCTTGAAATCATTTGCTGATCCTTCCCCTTTCCCTGCTCCCAATGCTTGCTTGTCTGAAATCTCCACTGTCAGATACCAAAATATAGGTAAAATACCAAAATGATTAAATATATATTAATAGTTTATTTGATGCAAATGTAGACAGTTTGCTATCGGTTCATTAACCGGATCATCACCGGTTACTACGTCCTGATGTCATTTATCTCATATGCACTATGTCGTGGTAGAATACTACTGGAATGAGGCGCGGGCGAGTTAAAATGCTTCAAAACTGTGCACAATTCCCTGCAAGTGAGTTTGCTGGACAGTCTTTCACTGACACTGACAGAGTACAGCAGAACCAGGAGACACTATTTCACTGCTAGGGAGAAAATAAAAGCTCTCTCTCTCTCTGTCTGCCTCTCTCTCTCTCACTTTTGACCTTTGAACTGCTGGCATTATTGTAAGGTGAATTTTCCTCTGCTCAATCACTATTAAAGTGATACTTGTGGATCCTCACATGAGCGTGTCTGTGGAGCTGGTTTTCCCCATATATATAATATTTGTATATATAATTATATGTAACTGTGTATGGAAAGCGTCGTCAATGCACCATGATGCACCGAAACATCGAATTAAAACGAATCAATGACATGATTATCAGAACTGAACCGAACCGTGAGACCAGTGTAAGTTCACAGGGTAAGAAAGTGTTAGTGTCAGAGACTCATTTTAGAAGTCATAACAATAGCAATGCCTTTCTATCTCCCAAAATGACTTAAAACACTCAGAATGGCAAAATTTTACTGAAATGCACAGAATGCCTTAGCAACCATATAATGCACTGAAATGCTCAGAATGCCTCAGCACGCCACAAATACAAATCATTCAAATGCTCAGAATGCCTTGGCAACAACAAAACGCTTAAACTTTCAGAACACATATTTCCACATAAACTGCTCACCGATGCTGGAGTCCCTCCTGAACACGTCTCTGTCGAAGATGTAGAAGGACAGGTGGCGGAAACTGCGCGGGATTTCACAGTAAAAGTCCTCGCCGTAGAATGGACTGTGGCGGAGAGAGAAGCAGAGACAAATGAGTATCATTATAACCAATTTCAGTAGCTATTCTCACTCATAATAGAAGGATTGCTCATTGTCAGATTGATGCATGAGGCTGTGCAGCACTGACACACACACACACACACACACACACACACACAGTAATGTTCTTAGACATCTACATCAACTACTGTGTGTATGTGTGTGTGTGCACAAGAGAGTATGTTTCAGTGTATGTGTCTGCATGTGTATATAAGTGGGTGTGTCTGTGTGTGCTTGTATGCCCGTATATGTGTGTGTGTGTGTGTGGGTGTGTGTGCATGTGTGTGCATATGTCTGTGCCTGTGTGTGAGAGAGAGTGAGCATGTTTGTATATGTGTTTTTCTGTATGTTTGTGTGTGTGTCTGCAAATGTGTGTGTGTGTTCTCACCATAAAGACTTCTCTATGGTTTTGGTTCGGAACACCTCCTCTTGGTCCAAGTTTACAGTACAGTAACAATCCCGCATTTTATTGGGTCCTGGATACGGAGGGATGTTCTTGGCTTCACCTGCAGAGAGACAGAGAATTGTTCCGTCATCTTATGAGGCTGATGAAACACAATAACATGCATTTCATGTAGAGCTCAGAAATGCTTTGAAAGAGTGTCAAACATCTATTGCAAATGCATACAAACACACACACACACACACACACAAACACACAGATGTAAGCATCTCTCCAGCTGCTCTGGGATCAGATACAGAACAATAGAGTGCAATATTCAGGGTCGCAGTGCAGCACTGGTGTGTCAGGGTGGGTTCAGTGCAAAAATTTGAGTGGGATCTGCAACCCAATACACACATCAGACACGTGAGTGGAGGAATGCTGTCAGCGTGCTCACATACACACACAAACATACTCACACACACACTCTTGCTCTCTTTCTCTCTCACACAAACACACTCTGGCTCACACACAATTGAACTGAACTGAACTGTTGTTTCTACTGTATAGCCCAGGGGTGCCCAAACCTTTTCTTACCAAACTTGATTAAGGGCTGTAGGCCAATGGTAAATATACCATGACATGGGTAATAATTTCCTAAATTATATCCAAATATTATAAAATAGCCAGAAACTATTGCTTTAAATCATATTGATGCAGTATATAGGAATGCTCCGATCAGGATTTGTGCAGCCGATACTGAGTACCGATTCCTGGTCATGGTGATCAGCTAATACAGAGTACCGATTCTGATGCTTCTCGCTTTAGAATGCATAAAGCACATTTTCCGTTTAAGCATATTTCTGTAGAAATTTCTCCTTACCTAAGAGAATAAATGAAGGATGTTCCATAGTATCCCTTAAATGCATCTCTTATAACCATTTCAAGAGTTCACACTCAGCTGATGATTGATTATAAAGCGTGTTTGGCATGCTGTCCCGGCAGAGAGCCCAGAGCTCATAAAATCCTCGAGCCCAGGGCTCCCTCCCATTTGCAAGGCGAGAGGGGAGTTTGAGCTCAGGTAGATGTGGAGAACTCCCCTGCTGTAGTAGCAGATGAACAGATAGTGATCGCTCTTAAAAGAAAACTACTGACTAGCAGCATGTCTATGGTGCTGATTTGGATTAGGCAATTAACTTAAGCTGCATGTTTTTGGACGGTGGGAGGAAACCGGGGGAACCCAGGGGAAACCCACGTGAGCACGGGGAGAAAGTGTAAACTCCTTACAGAAACGTCAGCTGGCTTGGTAAGGACTAGAACCAGAGATGTTCTTGCTGTGAGGCAACAGTGCTAACCACTGGGCCACCGTGCCACTCATCTGGGAAAGGAGGAGGAGTAGGGGTGGAGGGGGGATTCTTCAAAATGAATACAGCTGTGATAAGGAGCTGAGGGTATTTATAGTGGCTTAGGAATCGTCTGATTGGTGAATAATCAATTGAATAATGCGGAACCAGCCACAAGCAATCATAAGCATGTGATCCTCTCCACATTAGTTTATAAATGAACTTCACTTAATGTAAGGAAAACAATGTAAACACTCTCTCTCAAACACACACACGCACACACTCCCTCACTCACACACTAATATTTACTGTATAAACACACATATACACTCTCTCACACACTCAAACACACACACACGGTCATAATCCCCCAATTCAGAGTGACCTGCGAGCTGTAATCCAGTCAGGATCAGTGTGATTATGTGCGCAGCAGGAGCTGACCGGAAACAGAGACGCTTCCAGATCTGAAATGTCATGCATGGATCAGATTATCATCACGTCAGCAGCGTCGCTCTGCAGCATCAGAGGCGCTTCTGCTCACACTCACACCACCGTCAAGATCACAAACACTGATTTTACAGAAGCAGTGAGTTGCGACTTCCTGCTGAGGTTGATGGACACACACTGTCAGGCGTGTCAGTGGGGCGATGAGGGCGTAACAAGACACCAGTTCATTCTGTGGAAACACACACCACAACACACCCAACTTCCTCCCAAAGTGATGCATTCTTCCTGCTGCAGTGCCACAGACACACGTGTGTGTGTATACAGTGGAAGTATGTGTGTGTGAAAGAGTAGAAATATGTTTGAGAGTGGGCATATGTGTGAGACTTTGTGTGTGTGTGTGTGTGTGTGTGTGTGTGTGTGTGTGTGTGTGTGTGTGTGTGTGTGTGTGTGTGTGTGTGTGTGTGTGAAAAATTCAACATATGAGATTGTGTGTGTGTGAGAAAGTGGACATATGTGTGAGATGTTGTGTGTGTATGTGTGTGTGTGTGCGTGTGTGTGTGTACACTTTTAGGACATATACGTATGCAAACAGGGATGCCGTACTAGAACCAATTAGATAAGTTATTTAGGAACACCTTAACAACCACCTAGATTAAACTAGCAACTCCATAGCAACACCAGGAGACAATCTACCAACCAACCAGAGTGCCCTGGCAACTGTGTAACACGCACATCATAAACAGAGTCGATAACACACAACTTATCCCTGACGCAACAAGCCTTCACCCCACAGAAAAACAGCAAAACAGGAAGTGCAGCCGTCCATTCCTGGCATCTGCTTCCTCTCAACATGAGGACGAGAGAGACTGAGAAGATCAGCAACTTATGTGAAATATTACATTTCTGTTTATGTGTGTGTGTGTGTGTGTGTGTGTGTGATATTATTCTCCATCTTAGTGTCGTGATTGAGCAATAGCGCTGCAAAGATGTGGCTAAGTGGTTAGCACTGTGACCTCACATCAAGAAGGTCTCTGGTTCGAGTCCCGGCTGAGTCAGTTGGTGTTTCTATGTGGAGTTTGCATGTTCTCCCCGTATTGGTGTGGGTTTCCTCTGGGTGCTCCGGTTTCCCCCACAGTCCAAACACATGCGCTATAGGGGAACTGATCAACTAGATTGGCCGTAGTGTATGAGTGTGTGTAAATAAGTGTGTATGGGTGTTTCCCAGTCCTGGGTTGCAGCTGGAAGGCCATCAGCTGCGTAAAACATATGCTGGAATAGTTGCCGGTTCATTTCGCTGTGGTGACCCCTGATGAATAAAGGGACTAAGCTGATAGAAAATGTGAAAATTGTGTGTGTATGTGTTTAATATATGATCGCATGTATCAATGACTGTAAAAAATATGGACGACGCGACAGCCCTTTTTCCCATTGAACGCCTTGAGGGCAAAACGCCTGCTTGACGGGCACAAACTGTCGCAAAAGACTGCTGAAATTGGAGCCAGACATGCGCAGAAGGATTGTCTGATGGAGCCAGAGGAGGAGCCGCGAAAATGAGCAGAGTCGAGCTTCCAATCAAACGCTTTATGTAAAATCAACTACGCCCCCCGAACTTCTCAGCATGCGTTTGCTGTCATATCAACACAAATGGATGTAATAACGTTAACAAATATGAGGGTTTTATATATTCAATCGCGCCAGCTCCAGGCCGCAGCGCATAACTTACTCGCGGCGTCGCGGGCTGATTCCGGCTCGCATGCGGCAGCGCCTGCTCGCTCGGCCGCCGCATCAGGCTCGATTGACTCGGACTGGAATCGGGCAGTGAGTCCAGGCATCCGGAGTAGGTCCAGCAGAGGTAACATTAGTCAGTCTGAGCTCTAAGAGATAAGTCTCCGGCAGGCGAGAATCTAGCCGGAACTGTGTTTTGCTATCTGGGTGGCTAGGCGTGTATCAGCAAACTAATAAAGCCCGAAAAAAGCCCTGAACTTAGCGAATAAACAGTGTTCCACCAGGATCATGTATGTCAGAAACTATAGTTTACTGCTGAACTCATTTTGTCATGGTAAAATAACACAGAAATCGAATAATAACATTTCAGTCTACTTCAGTCTCCTGCCGAAGCTCAGACGCCGCGCTTTGAGAAACTGTCAATCACAGCTGTGTATCACGATGACACGCCCAGCATTAAATTACTGCTAAAAACAAACTGTTTACACAAATGAAGATCTGCACCTATTTCAGCACAATAACCAGTGCCTTAATCCACCAGAACTATCTTTCGGGACATTTTATTGCAAGTGTAATATTTTTTTTTATTTGGGCTCAAGTCTCCTTCATTAACACGGAGGAGGCGGGCTTTATGACTTGTACTGCAGCCAGCCCCCAGGGGGCGATCTAACGGCCGAAACCTTCACTCAAACGTAGGCTTGCGGCACACTTGGCATGTATGCGTGTGTGTGATTGTGAGTGTGTGTGTGAGCACATGCTTGTCTCCATGGTGACAGACTCACTGCAGGATCTGCTTCCTGTTTGGAGCTCAGCAGATGATGGCAGTGAGTGTGAAATTGAATGTGTTTCACAAAGACAGAAATATCCCTCTGCTGTACTGCGCCATCTCTACATCTGCAGCCACTGGGAGGAGAAGCTCAGGTACAGCTCAGACGACTCTCCCTTTAGTTAGTTAGATAGTTAGTTAGTTTTAGTTAGTTAGTTAGATACTTTATTAATCTTAAAGGAAATGCAGTAACAGGAGAATCATGTAGACTTCGGTTCCTCCTGTTTGACCCCATATTTGAGTTTGTCTTTACGTACACAGCAAACAAACACAGTACTTGAAAGAACTCATGAACCCACCCACCCACACCCACACACACACACACACACTCCTCAAACAAAAACACACAGAGTAGGCGGTGAAAAGTAAATCACAGTCACAGGAAATGAGGTCAGAGAGAAAGAGATGGAAGAATAAACAGAGGCTGCGTCTCAATCAGCACCCTAGCTCCCCAGGCTGTTCGTCGGTAGGACGTGTGCAAAAATTCAGGCACTGGTAAGGGCACTAATGAGCTTGGCACACTACACACCAGGACACACTCCCTACATTCATTCATTTTCTTTCGGCTTAGTTCATTTATTTATCAGAGGTCACCACAGTGGAATGGACCAGCAGCATATGTTTTACGCAGCGGATGCCTTTCTAACTGCAACCCAGTACTGGGAAACACCCATACACATTCATTCACACGGGCCAGTTTAGTTGATCAGTTCCCCTATAGTGCATGTGTTTGGACTGTGGGGGAAACCGGAGCACCTGAAGGAAACCCATGCCAACACACGG